TCATAGAGTTCCTATGTGATGCTGGGCCAGTCACTTAAACCACACTTTTTAGAGGTGGTCATGAATTGTGTGTTCCTTATTTTTTCTGTGCCTTACTTGAGCCCTTTGGTCTGATTTGCAGAAGTGCTGAGAGCTCATAATTGCATCTGAGCAAAATGGGAGTTCTGGTTGAATATATTATGCTAAGTACTCTGAAAAATCAGGCCCTAGCCATCTGGAATCAGGCACCCAAAATCAATGGATGTTTTTTCTTTAATCTCTGTGTTATTTGGCTCCTCATCAGAGAAATTGGATTAATCATGTCACCTCAACTCATGGGGAATTCTCGAAGATTAATTAATATTTGGGGAGCATTAGGATACTATGGTGATGAAAGCCTATGAGAAATGAATAATTCTGTGTTCAGAGGAAGGTCTGAAGAGTGTGTAGCAAATAAAAATATTTTCAATAGCTTTTTTTTCTCCCTTGTTCAGTTCAAATGTTATATCAAGACTGTATTTTGGCAGTGTGTAACATACTGTTCTCATTTATTATGTTAATAGACATGTCACATTTTAGACATATTTACAGCTGGGTCTATCACTTGCTATCTGTCCATTACTTTGTATTATGGGAAAAGCTGAGTTTCTATGGGAAAGTTCTAGTTTTTGCTCCCTGTTGTGGAAAAATAATCTGTTATTCAAAATACAAGAAATCTTAATGTAAGAGTTACCGAGATGAACGAAGGATATTTATTATTGTATTACTATTGGTTTGTATGTTTTTTTATGTCAATGCAATGTTACAGTATTTTAAAATTCTGCAGCTTGAAAAGGAGCGTCCGTTAGATGGCAGTAGAGGATAATAAATGAGAAAGGATGACGCATTTTATTTTCATCAGTGTCCTAGATCCCTTAGTGATCATTTTCATCCATGCTTTCTAAAGATCTGCGGACTCATAGTTAAATTGTGTTATAGTAGAGCATAGTTAGCATTAAGATGTATTGACTTTTTTGCTTTCACGTTATATCAAATTATAAGTATTGTTCCTCGTTTTCTTTAAGCAATTTCGAAGCCTTTCCCACATAAAATAATTCTTTCTACTTATTAGTTATATGAATGAGTTCCTTTTCCTGACGTGGAAAATTACTCTGATGTTCTGCTTGATGATTTGTACAGCCATTCAAATCACTAGTCGACTACTTACAATATGGTACTGCAACGGGAATAGTAATAATGGAAAAGGAACATACCTCCTAATGAACGAACGTAATGAACGAAATAAAAGAATACAGTATCCGATAATACAAGAGGGCCCTGCTCTATCTTTGGATGAAATACAGTAAATTTGCACTTATCACATTAGTTCTCTTTTCGCACACTTGAGGTAATGGCGGCGAATGCTGGGGAGCAGGAGAGAGGTTGATGTGTCACGAAACCTGATTGGTCAGATTTTACCGCAGACTGCAAATCCATAAAAATCAAAGGAGCAGTTTGAAACCAAAATAGGCACAAAAGTGAAGCAGTTTTACCAGAAGGTCCTCCAGGAGGCAAAATACGGTAATGGCAAGTGAAAAATGCCATTTGACAGCTGATCTTATTTTAAACAATTCACAGAGACGCCAGGTATTGCCAGAAAATCAGGGATTCCGTTGAATTAATAATTAGTAGAGGTAGGATTTGATAATCTGCCAAAGCCTGAAAAATTATGATATATATATCTATATATTGCGGAGTCTAAATGGAGCAATTCTCAGACAATGGCGAGCGAAAGGACCGGGCTAATAACCCGCCACTTTTCTTCTAACTCAAGCATCATGAAAACTGTGACTAGTGGAGGAGGAGAACAGAGAATAGACCCCGCCCTTGTTTTTCTTGACAGTTTTCAATCAGGTCGTCTCCCATGGATCTCAGCCTCAGGTGATGATTCATTGCACAAAATATAATCTAAACTGGATTCGGGGAACGGTAGGCGAATGGCCATTGGAAGGTTGTTCTCCATAACGTCCACGGTATTTCAAAGCTTGGATCGCCGTAGGGGTATAAATGTATCTCGAAGAGAGTGCTGAACAAAACTTGAAGAGTGTGATCCGTGATGCTGTTAGCTTTATTGAGCACGCTTTATTTTTTCCTTCTCCCATGAGACCAAAATATCAACAATACAAAGGCCTTTTCAAAGCCTCCCCAGACTTTCACAATAAGAACTGTTACTTTTAGTAGCTTTCTTCAAGCCTATGGGGAAAGACTTTTACCTTACACATCAAGTTGTTTATTATTACCTGATAATTCCCAATTTCTTACTCTTTACCAGCAATCTGTTCACAGCCGTTGACCTATGAAAAACATTGTATGAAAGCAGCTGTCTGTTCTCTAGTTCCAGATAGATAGATAGATAGATAGATACCCTAAATCTGAAACAAAAACTTGAATACTAGCTGATACCTGTAAGAGGGCTCAGGAGAAGACTCACAACAAGTCTGACTCCGTTACTTCCTGTTGTATGTGGTACTTAATTTTTAATTTGTACGGTATTCAGAGAATAGATTTAAATAAAAGTATTAAACTTGTTTTAATAAGGGGTAGGTGGTTCTGAACACTGTCTAGAGAAAGAGACCCTTTTCAGGGAGATGGCCTTGGTGCTCTCACAGCTACTCTGTGTGGGCAGCAGCCGAGGCATAGCAAGCTATATCTCCTAGGAAGGGATAACCGAGGACTTTCCCGTCCAGGCTAGAAAGCTTAGTTAAAACTAGTCCTAGCAGTAGCTTCCGCCTGGAAAGGGCGGGGAGGGGGACCTTGAGTAAGGGAAATGGAGAAACTGCGGATGAGTTAGAGACCAAAATACCTTTTCTATCTGGCTAGTGGGGCCGTGATTTGACACATTGATTAATTTAAAAAGTCCACTCTGTTAACAGATGAGTTAGTGATAACCCTCCCCTGTATTTCCTCCTAAAGACTATTCATAACTACTTAGACAGTCTCTACCCCTTCGGGTCGGGGGTGGAGGTGGGAGTTTGAGTACTCCTTCGGTATAAAATTATGTTCCCCTGGGGGAAGAAGAGGGGGAGTATCTAATGATTTGTGTCCTAGTTTTCCACTCATTACGGTCACTTATTACACCAAGTAGATTATTGTGAACAAATAGATTAGGCTGTAAAATAGAAGTTTAATCCTTTTACTGGGCAAGTATTGCAACGCAAGTGATTATTGTTTAAGAATTCCCTTGGTCTCGCGTGTTTAATTAAGGTTTCAGGCAGGACGAAAGGAGACTAAAGGGCGGCGTGTTCTCAGTCTGAAAGCGGGGTTAGAATTGAAGGATCGTCCAACCCTCCAAATAACCACAAACTGAAACATGAAACACAATGAAAACGGGGAGATTTTTCGATACATTCTGTGATTTAGCTATTACCCTTCCCTGCCTCCAGAGCTGGGTGTTCGGCTGTAAGAGAAATAAGGAGCGGGAATGACATTCATATACTGGCCATTTTGAAAGAAGTAGTCAGACATGGAGCCGCCGATATACAAGAACAAGAAGCTGAGGTGGTAGCGAAGGAAAGGTGGAGTCTGTATCTTGATGAAGTTTCGGAGAGAGGAAACCGCAGAAATGTTCGGTGCTGGGTGGTCCGAGAATCGTAAATTTCAGGGAAATGAGCTGTGGTGCAACTACATTCGGAAAAGCCGTAAGCTCTATGATAGTGGTGAGGCGGGAAGGGTGGTATTGCAATATGACAGAGCGGGCTTTTCAAATTTTCAAATTACCCAATGAGACATAGCTCGTTCCCAGCAGCCAATCAAAAACGAGAGTTTGCCTATAAATATAGTTAGTGCCAGAACAACGGCTTCTCTTTCTCCGTTTTCTTTCAGAACTAATAACGTCTCGTTTTGGTTAGAATGGCCAGGACCAAGCAGACCGCCCGTAAATCCACCGGTGGCAAAGCCCCCCGTAAGCAACTGGCTACGAAAGCTGCCCGGAAGAGCGCGCCTGCGACTGGGGGAGTGAAGAAGCCTCATCGTTACCGGCCCGGCACTGTGGCCCTGCGAGAGATCCGCCGCTACCAGAAATCTACTGAGCTGCTCATCCGCAAGCTGCCCTTCCAGCGCCTGGTCCGTGAAATCGCCCAGGACTTCAAGACCGACTTGCGCTTCCAGAGTTCGGCTGTTATGGCCCTGCAGGAGGCCAGCGAAGCCTACTTGGTGGGGCTCTTTGAAGATACTAACCTGTGTGCTATTCACGCCAAGAGAGTCACTATCATGCCCAAGGACATCCAGTTAGCCCGGCGTATCCGTGGCGAGAGAGCTTAAAGGCTGCTCAGCCATCTTCCAAATGACCCAAAGGCTCTTTTAAGAGCCACTACATTTACACTTAAAGGAGTTGTAGCATGCCTATAATTTAAGTGTTGTTCTGAGATGGTACACTATTGTAGGTAAGCTGCTTTCTAATGTAATGAGTGGCGTTTTCCAGTCCTGTAAAATGCACGTATTCCCTGTTAACTTCTAAAGGAAAACTCAAATATAAAGTTGCTATTTAAAACTTTAGCTTCAAGTTCCTTTCCCACTTTGAGGTGATTATCTGACAAACTTTAGAAATATTTCATACAAATACCCTTTGCAATTCGAAGAACCTGTAAACAAGCCACCAATGGGTTATTTTGGGGTAGGGTATGGGAATGATAAGCAGGAGGTTTGAACAACCCCTTTGGAAAATCAAGTCAATCTAATTGGAAACGGAACACACATGCGATCTTTTTCGAAGAGGGATGGGAGACAAGGAAAGCGATATTCTTGTGTCCTGTTATCCTCCTTAACGCCGCATATTAAGCCAGATAGATTCTTTTGCTCGAAGATGTATCAGGATGAAACGAGACAAATTTAATCCTTTCATTTATTGCAAGTAATTACTATTTAAGAACTCCAGTCTTTCATCTATATAGGGAAGGACTGAAGGAAATTAGATCCCTCATGAGGGCGCAGTGCCCCCACAGTCAGAGGGAAGAATTACTGAAGGTTAGTTGTGCCGCCCGCTAACTAGCAGCAAATTAAAACACAAAATACGAGGATCGAGAGGGGTTTCAGCCCATTCTGTGGGTTAACTATTATCCCGCCCCTTTATCTCCGGGGATTTGTGTGCGTGATGGTTGTTCAGCAGTAAGAGAGAGAGCAGGGATGACATTGACTACCCAGCTTGTGGCGACCGCTTTCTATCTGTGCTTCCAGAGCTCGGCCGTTATGGACCGATAGGAGGCCAGCGAATTGGTGGGCTCTTTGAAAATACTAACTTTAACCTGTGTGCCAGTCACGCAAAAGAGAGTCACCTCCTGCCCAAGGACATCCAGTTACGCCGGCGTATCCGTGGTGAAAGGGTTTACAGGCTGCTCAGTTCAGCTCTCTTCTGCAACTTCCAAACGTCCCAAAGGCTCTTTTAAAACCCACTACCTTCACGCTGAAAGGAGCTGTAACACCCCCATAACTTGTAACATTTTGTTATTTTTTTACCAGATGTTAACAGTCCCAAATAGCAATATTCAGATAAACTAGAGAGGGAGGGGGAAAGCTTTTTGAGTTTTAGCTACAGGAACTTAAAGAATGATAGAAAACTATGAGGCAAACCAACTATCCTTCAGGCACATAAACAGATAATTCATGGAGCCAAAACTTTAGTCGAACCTCTAGGATTATTCTTCGGTTAAATAGAGTACTGAACAGTGTAATCTGGTAATATGTCAAATGTTATTTACCGGACAAACCGTTTAGCCATATTTTATATGGAGGTGACACCTCACCGAACTATTGGTTGGGAGGGGGAGAAACGAGAAAGACGCGGGACACCTACATTTTTCCTTAAAATTTGAAACCCCGATATAGTTTAAATTGACAATGCCATTTACTAAAACGAAATCAGTCCCCCCTCGATATAGGGAGCATATGCAATAAAAAAAATGCTTTAACAAGTCGCCTGAAACTAAAGCACAAATACAGATTGTTTTAAAAAATACACTGTTGGAGTTTGAAGAACACAAGCACCAGCAGTTAGTGATAGCAGAGCTCTTTGGATGAGAAAGTGGATGGCTCTTAAAAGAGCCTTTGGGTTATAGGTGTTGATAGTCTCACAGCAAACTATTTACTTGGAGCTGGTGTACTTGGTGACGGCCTTGGTGCCCTCAGACACAGCATGTTTGGCCAGCTCCCCCGGCAGAAGCAGGCGCACAGCGGTCTGGATCTCCCGAGAAGTGATGGTTGAACGCTTGTTGTAATGAGCCAGGCGAGACGCTTCCCCCGCAATGCGCTCGAAGATGTCGTTCACAAAGGAGTTCATGATCCCCATGGCCTTAGAGGAGATACCGGTGTCCGGGTGAACTTGTTTCAGCACTTTGTACACGTAGATGGAATAACTCTCCTTCCTAGTCTTTCTGCGCTTCTTATCGCCCTTCTTCTGAGTCTTAGTCACAGCTTTTTTAGAGCCCTTCTTGGGAGCAGGAGCAGATTTTGCTGGCTCAGGCATCTTGACAAAAGCTATTCTCTCAAAGTACTCGACGTACACTAGTCTTCAATCACCAAATACCCAGTGACAACAGTATAGAAATAGTGGCGGCCGCCCTTCTATTTATAGAAGCCTTATGCAAATTAGGCGTTTCCCTTTTCTCTTTTCTTATTGGACGTGAGAGTCAAGAGCCGTCCCCTCCGGCACATTGTACCTGTCTATTGGTCAGAGTTAGATCCGCATCACCATTGGCTGTTCAGACAATAACCATTTTTTAACCTATCATATTTCGTTGAACTCTCTAAAGCGAAATGGTATGAGTGCGGGCTGGAGAGTGTCATTTCTTCATTGTTCTTTTATAAAGTAGCTGTGTGTTAGAGCACAATTTACGCTGCCCGGTCAGGGAAATTAAGGGAGTAAAGTGAGGTTTAAGAACAAGTCTCGCTTCTTGTGTCCCTTCTCTGAGTCTAGTGAAAACATGCTAATGCAAAATAACTTATCCATCCCTTTCTGATCTTTCGCAGCAATAATTAACAGCACCCTTTAGAAAGTGCATTAGGATATTTACCAGAGTTGTTTTGGATTAACAAAATAAGAAATTGTGTACACACACACATCTTCCTTTACAGGTTATTTTTGCCGTTGCGAAACAATATAAATATATAAACAACCGATGAATCTGACTGGAAACCAAATTACCTCCCAGGGATTTTTATCTGTCGATTTCTCAAGATCACCCACCCCGAATAGGCGAAGGAAAGTCTATGTAACACTGAATCCCCCTTAAGAAAAAAAAAAAGTCGTTACTGGCCAATCCTAGCACAGAGTGGGATTTTTAAAATACAACTGGTTTAAATCCGCTCTCAAAGAGGGCAGAAAGTGAACTTTTGTTTATAAATCGCCGTTTCCTATCACACCCTGTTCTCTAGCCCTCCCCCTCCGACAAAGAGACTGCAGCTGATACAGGAGTAATGACCATAAATATCTTTTCATAAACAAACTCCTGCCTTCCCTAGTGCTCACTCCCCTAACAGCACAATCTATAGAAAAGATGCTCGGCTCCAACATAGGGCTGCTTTAGTTTGCTTGTAATTGCATCTTCCAAGTTCCAGGTCATTTTCTTTATACTTTCAAAAAATATATATAACAGCATAGATTTAAAATCCCCCCCCCCTTGTTGATTTATAGCACGGGTGGTAAAATTACAGTAAGGTACAATATAAGGAACGACCATCTCCAGGGGCTGTTTCATGTTCCTTCCTAATGATGCACAAACATAAATTTTATTTGCCCCCACCCCCCTTTACTGTGGGTCTTGTGGCTAGCCGAATGCCGCCTGCCTTTCGTTGAAAAGGCACCGTGACATTAAGAAGTGAATCTAGTGTTTCAGCTCCTTTTGGGAAAGGATGGGTGGCTCTTAAAAGAGCCGTTGGGTTTTTTATAGTAAGTATCTCACGTCATTTCACTTCTTCTTAGGAGCGGCCCTCTTAGCCTTCACTGTTTTGGGTTTCGTCGGCTTGGGCTTGACAGCCTTGGGCTTCACCGCTTTCGCCTTAGCCGGGCTCTTGGCTGCCTTCTTAGGCTTGGCGGCTTTCACCTTTTTCGGGCTCTTGGCCGTTTTTCTGGCCGCTGCAGCTGGTTTCTTGGCTTTTTTCGGGCTCTTTTTCACGGCCGCAGCCTTTTTGGGTTTCTTGGCGGCGCTGGCGGGCTTCTTGGCAGCTGGTTTCTTAGGCTTTGCCGCTGGCTTTTTCTTCGGCGCCTTTTCCTTGGTCTCGCCAGGCTTTTTGCTGAGCTTAAAAGAGCCCGAGGCACCGATACCCTTAGTATGAACTAAAGTGCCCTTGTTCACCAGACTCTTGAGCCCCAGCTTGATGCGGCTGTTGTTCTTCTCCACATCGTAGCCTCCGGCTGCCAGAGACTTCTTAAGAGCGGCCAACGAGACCCCTTTGCGCTCCTTGGAAGCGGACACCGCCTTGGTGATCAGCTCGGTCACGCTGGGACCCGCGGCCTTCCGGGCTTTGGCTCCTCCAGCCGCCTTCTTCGGCTTTTTAGCTGGAGCTTTTGAAGCTGGAACAGGAGCTGCAACAGCTGCTGTCACTGCAACAGCGGGCGCAGTTTCGGACATGGTCACACCGTTGATTTACAAACGCTCTACACACGACTCACTACAGTAGATGCCTTGTATTTATAGAGACGAGCTGCTCTCTGATTGGTGAGTTTAAGAACCCGCCCAGCTGCAAGGCAGACAGAGCCCTTCTCCCCGCTCAGTTTGTGTTTCTTCGGAGGAAATAAAATGTATTTTTTGCACAATATCTGCCACAGAATCACCCCATTTTACAATCATGAGAAGGTGAAATAGGACATTTTCATCTGTTAGTATTTTCTGTTGAAAATAATAATACAGTGTTAAAAAAGACCCAATAAATCTTGCGTCCTGGAGCTTGATAGACCTCCGGAGAGAGAAAGTTTTGTTTTTCTTTGTAAATTAAAAATGTTCTTTTAGCAATAAGATCAGAAAAAGAATACAATACTAATCTTTAGAGGGTCTTCTCCAAATCGTATAAGAAAGTGAGTGATTTGTATCAATGTTCTCATTATACACTGATTTAAAAGAGACAGAGGTAGCACAAACTCCCACAAACTAGATTTCAGCTTTGCTAACCAAGGTCTATAACCTACTAGGAAACAGTACTAAGTTAACTTAGTGGATCTTTCCATACCATCTAGTCTAAAGTTCTGTGAGGGCTGTTTACTTCAAATAATATGTGCTTTGTGGTATTATCCCCCACAAATTAGCTATTCTTGGTACAAAACCCAGATTCTAGTTCTTATAAAATAGGAAAGGGATGCATACTTTAGCCTGATAACCAATGGGGATATAAAAATATTAAAGCATAATCACTGGTTATTTTTTAATTCTAAATTACAAAGAAACAAATCATGCTCTAGGTAAAAAAAAAAACAGGGATAATTTTTTTCTGTAAAATAATTAGAAATCATCCATTAATCTGAAAAAAATTAATGGCAGATGTGAAAGTGTGTGTGGTGTGTGAATCTCTGCAATTAAAATTATCTGAAAACACAATTCCTGTACCCCTTTAGTTTCTAAACTAGGGACAAACAGTGGTTGTTTCTGGACAATCCACTTTGCTAGGTCTCAAATCAGTGCATAGGGACATTCCTGTATGTAAAGTCTGTGTCAACAATACCTAGCTGTAGAAATTGAATGATTGTACTCAAATGAATCTGAATAAATTATATTAGCAATGCCATTCATGTTTCTTTCCTTAAAGAAACACTTTATATTTATTCATTCATGATTGGCTCCAGTGCTTGACTCATGTAATAAAGGAGTGTTGTATCCATTAGGATTTAAAGCCCTGCTTAATAGCATCACATTCATTCACTGAATATATTCCCTTTGGAGACAAATCTCTGGAAGGGAGAGATTGGCATACGAAAGGCATAACACCCTTTGAGCCCGTGGGGACAGAGATGTTAGTAGGCCCTGAGAAGGGTTTCTATGGACCAAGGCAGAATCTCTTTTCTTTAACCTTATCCTGACCACAATAGGTAAGGTACTTGGAGCACCATGGAGTCTCTGGTGAGCTGTTGCCTTCAATCTGTGTCTTTTAAGAGGTTGTGGATAATGAGGTTTGGGTTAGTGTAACTGGAAAAACTTAGTCTTTCCCTCTGTTCTCACAGTACAATGCAATTAGTTGGAAGCATTCTTCTCTTCCATGTCTCTATTTTTTTGTTCATTCTTTCTTTTTTTCCTCTCACTTCAACAGTGGAGTCCCCAGCCTAGGTCACCCTAGCCATGGAAGAGGGTATGTATGTGAATGGGGCAATTTGGGAAATCTCATGAATGGTGAATCAAATTCCCCCAAAAGTACACACTCCTTTTTTCTGACAAACACACATTTGCACACGTGTTCCCATCCCTAAAAAATTTGGAAAGTTCCCCTTTTGTTATTTATTAGAATAAATGAACCACCAGTTCTGAAGGAACTGCAGTGGCTGTGAACGGTTCCTGTCAGGGGAGGGAAAACCAATAGACATGGCACCTCCTCTTTTATCAAAGTGTGCAAAAGGTAGCAATGTCTTTTTTTCAAATGCAGCCTTACTTTGTTGTGTCATGGAGAAACTCAGCAGGTCTGTGGGTATATATGATGGCTCGCATCTCAGTCACAAGGTAGTCTAATAAGGATATGTGGGCACTTCCAGGTTTAATAGCCAGAGCACAGTGGCTTGCCCTTCTGTGGTTGACACGCATGGAAATGGAAACTCGAAGCAGTGCACATTCCCCTGTGATGCAGACACCAATTAGGAGGGTGTGGCCTGAGGTGCTTACAGAGAGACTACTCTCGCCGAGCCCTTTTCTACACATGAGAAAGTTGGCATGCGTGGTCCCAATAGTAACACACTTCACATCCCTATTCTAAAAGGCTCCTAATGGTGCAGCAGTGATCACACTAGACAATAAAAAACAAACAAACAAAAACACTTAACCTCCATATGGTATTCCACTCTGCCAATTTCCATGGGTACCACTGCAATATGGATGGGGATCACTGATGCAAAAGCCCTTGAGAGTGCCAACAGCCACTAGAGGGAAGAAGCTTTCCATTACTGCAAACATGAACTAGGTTGGCAAGGGCAACCTAGAGGTGAAAGTGTTCTGTCGCCCATTACCAATCCCATGGACCATCCACTCTCAATGTGGAGCGGGGGGGGGGGGGAGAGTTATTGGAATGGTTACAGCTAATAAATAATAATAATAATATTTCACAAGTCATAATTTATTTAGATAAAGAAAAGAGATGGTAATGTACCCCAAACTTATTGGTGCCTCCAACATAACAGATCCAACCCTGGTGGGATCAATTTTAAATTATTCTTGCTATGTAAATAAATATCACATCTTTTAAAATTATTATTATTGATTTGTTTGTTGTTTCAGTAATGAAGCATGAGTTTATATTATTTGCTGAATAGCCTGGTATGTTGCCCAGTACTGTAATGCTATGTAATGACAGACACTGAGAAGGGAAAATCTCAAAAGGTTCAAGAATTTGGTTCAGTCTGTGCAAGTATTAAATAGTCTGGATATTTTTCTTAATATCAAATCTGTTTAAGCCCCTTCCCATGGACCTTCTCCCTGGCACCCCTTTGCTGTGAGGAGGTTTCTCCTTCCTATCTGATAGCAGTACCTTGGAGGACAAGCTTGACCACCCTTGCTAGCTAATGAAGGGCAATGAGTTTATGACAAATCAAAAGAATTGAGCTTGAGAATCCAGAGACAAACCTTTAGAAAACATCAACAATAAAACCACAATCTCCCTTGGGAGGGGAGTACTTCCCTTTTAGCATCTCACCTGAATATTCACATGAGAGATTGGTGATGGGAAGTAATAGTCCTAGAAGAGGAATACATCTCATGGCTGCCATGCAAATGTTGGCTACAATGCTGAACTTGATGAGACAAGTGTAAGGATGTTGTGTTGATAAGGGGCATGTTCAGGGCCAACAGGAGAAGAGATGCTAATGAAATTGTCCTGGGGCCTGATCAATTCAGGGGAGTTACAAACCAGCCTACCTGGCACAGGCTCTGCTAAGGAGAATGAGACAACCCAGATCCACCTGTGAGTAGTTAATTACCTATGTGGCTGGGTGGCAGAAATGCCTGGGCCTAATACAGGTGTATGAGGGCTCAGTTAGGTGGTTCAAGGACACAGAGAGGAAGCTCATGACAAAAGGGGCTTTTCAGGGAAGGTGTTTAGAGATCTTACTAGAAAAGAGGGCTTAGGAAAGGTGTTCCTAGAGGCTGCAGATTCTGAAAGTGCTATGAGTGCAAAGGCCTAGGAAGATCAGTCCCAGTGAAAGGCCCTTAGTAGATCGTGGCAAGCAGTCCAGGTTGTTGAGGAACTACATGCTGCTTGAGAGGAGACTATAGCTGTTTGACATCTGCATGGATCCTGAGTCCAGGAACACCTTCCCAGCTGATGGTAAGAGCCTGCTTCCAGAAGAGGATCCTCAGTTGAAAGGGCCTTAGGGGTGATAAGCCTGGACAGAGAAGCTGGATGGACTCAGCTGGAGGCAGATAAACTAAGCTTAACACACATGTACCCTGGGTAGGGCAGTGGGGGTGAAGACCTGCTTGCAAATCTGTGTGGCCAATGATTAAATAAAACGAGACCCTTGAAGTACCATTCGCTATATACAAGCCTCACTGAATTTAGTGATAGCCTGAAAGAGGAAACTGAGGCAGGGACAGACCCTGTTGCTCTCCACCAAGCTGCCAGAGGTTATGCAGGTTAATGTCAGCATTGACACAAGGGGGAGCTCTGGGAGTAAGTGCCCATGCTATAACAGAAACCCTCTTACAAGATTAAACAGTTAATGCAGGTCTGAGATTTAATATCAAGTTATTGATGGCTTACTCCCTTTTTTGTTAACCATTATACCACATGCTCAGTTTGCAGTAGACTTGAATGTCCTGCTTCAGAAGCCAGGAATTTAGATCCTTTCTGGATGGAGCCACCCCCCACAGTTAGAGAAATACAATTCTTTAGGTGCTGTGACATTGTGCAGTCTATATGGTTTTATAAAAACATAATAAGAAGTGAATATAATGTAACTGGAATATGCTTCATGCAAAAGGTCTCTTGTAAGGTATCATTACAAAGCTTATAATCTACTGAGTGTGATCATCCTATTTGTAGAAATGTACCACTCTTGTATCTAAAACTAGAAATATGAAATATAACTCTGAGGGCCTATTGTAATTATGCAAAGTGTGGGCCATTAATAGTGGTTTGGAATCTTGATGACTCCCATTAACCAGGACCATTGTCTGCAGATGGCTGTGTTTACCTGTTAGTCTTCCTGTATATGTGTGTGTTGGCAAGTGGGTAATGAAGTCTTGCAGTGACATGTGATCATGTCACCTGACCTGGAATCCATCTTTAACCTGGTGCTTTTCCAGTGAGGGGGGGGGGGTGGAAACCCAGAGGAACAAAGGGTTCCCACCTTATGCAAAAGATGTATAAAGGGGTGGAAGAGAACAAGGAGGGAGAGGAGCCATCATGAAGAATCCCCTAGCTATCACCTGAGCTGGAACCAAGAGCTGTA